GCAAGACGTGGTGCATCTCCCTGTCACGGGGAAAGAAGGAACCATGGACCCTGAGCAGGGTGGGCAAAGCTCTCCCAGCAGGCTGTGTGGGGTGTGCCGTGCCCAGGGCAGAGATGATGGAGGCAGCAGGGACAAGGGTGTCTCACCTGGCCAGCAGCCCCACTGCATAGTGCTGGGTGCCAGCACAGACGAGCGTGTCCCAGCCACGCTTGCGCTCCACTGACATCACCTCATTGTCCCACTGCAGGCGGCAGAGCAGGGCCTTGAGGGTCTGTACCAGAAACCTGTGTGCAGAGCAAAGCCCAGGTCATGCTGGGAGCCCTGGCCCCAGCCCCGAGGGCATGGGAGAGAGACAGGACTGGGATGGAGCACCTGTTGGGGTGGCTGGGAAGGCGGTGTTGCTCCTGGCATCCCCTCCAGAAGGTGTTGACCTCTTCTGGCACCTGCTCTGTGCTAATGGAGACTTGGAAGAGCAGAGCACAGAGCAGGTGGGGGACATAATCCATCACTGCATCCTGGCACTTGGGCTCCTGCAGGATCAGCCACAGTGCCAGGCTTGCCTGCAATACAACCATGCAGAGACAGCGCTCAGTGTGACATGTCCATGTGGCTGGGCCCGAGTGCTGGAGGGAGAAGCCAGGGCAGACCCAGGGGGAGCAGCCGGCCTGGTGCCCCTGAACCTGCCCCTCAGCCACATTTCCAGCCCAGCGCCTGAGGCAGGGGGATGCAGTGGTGGGGAGGTGACCTGGGGAGGAGCAAAGGCCACTTTTAGAAACTCACAGCCAGAGCAAACACTTCTCTGTCATCACCATCTGATGTGGACATGCTGTGTGCTGGCCAATCCTCCATCACTCGCAGCAGTGTTGGCAGCACCTTCTCCACTGCTGTTCTCGAGGAGGCAATGCTCTTCCACATCATGGCAGCAGCTCTGTGGAGACACAACTCTGGGTCAGGGGGATCTCAGGCACAGAGCTGTGGTCTGGGCAGCTGTGGGGGCCCAGTTGACAGAGCCACGGTGCCTTGAGGGACAAGGAGGGCACGTGGCAGCAGGATCGGGGGCTGACAGGCCAGGGCTGGGAAATGGATGGACCAGAATACTCTGGAACTCTCCATCTCTCTGGCAAACCACATGGGACAGACTCTACACGGTGATGGGTTCTAAGGGCTGGTGAGCCCTGAGCCACCCAGGCAGCTGGGCCCTGTACCTGTCACACTCTGGGGCACAGCGCAGCAGAGTCATCACCACGTTACACGGGTGTGCCTCAGTGAGCCTCTGGATCTTCCCCTGCATTCTGACATTCGGAGGCCCGCGGACGGTGAGGAGCTTGTGGATGGCCCTCATGATTGTGGGCACCTGGAGAGGCAGTGAGAGAGATTTGAAAAGCTGCCAGAGTGAGTAGTTTTCCCAGCTTCTGAGATACCATATTGAAGAAGGGGGAAATAGTTACTGCACAGATGAAAATTGCAGCCAGGGAAGAAGATGTGAACCACAAGTGCTCACCTCTGGCACGCACTGGTACTCGTCATAGTCCATGAAGAACCACAGCACCAGGGCCTGGTGCATGTCCATCTGCAAGGG